AAGCAGGAAGAATCAGGCCTTGCTATAGTGAACCTTAATTCTTTTTAATGGGGAATGGCATTTAGAGAGTGGAGTGTAGCTGGGTTCTAGGGATGTCTATTGCTATTAAGTTTGTCATTGATTCTAGGTGTTTTCAATGAACAGAGATAGGAAATATGTGAGTTCATGTTAATTCCAATTCAAATGTAAGATTATAGGGTTTATATACTTATATCTCTCTCTTGTTGAAACTCTTGCTTCCAATGACATTAAACATAATTAGATTTTTGTATTATCCTGTAATAGGCCTAAAATAATTTCAGAATAACAGTACTTATATTATTAACAACATTAAGGTTGTTGAATGCAGTTTGTTTCTTTGTACTTTTTATCCTTAGAATATATGTTAGATTGGATATGATTGGTTAAAATATTGTTTGAAAAACACCTGAAGTAATTCATTTCTTTGTGTGTTTATGCCCTCAATGTTGTATAGTTGGGTTTATTCATTCCAGTATTTTTTCTCCAGTTTTAAGGTATTGTCCTCTTTTTATTATTATTGTTTTTGTTTCTTTTGGTTAAATATCTAGGAGTGAAATGGTTGGGTTGTATGGCAGGCATATATTTAGCTTTTAAGAAACTGCCTAATTTTTTGTACCATTTTACATTCCTTTCATCAGTATGATTTCTTCTACATTCTTCAAACACTTGGTATATTCAGTCTTTTTAATCTTAGCCAGTGTAATGGATACATAGTGGTATCTCATTGTTTAATTTACATTGTTATATATATGTTACAACTGATGACTAACGATGTTGAACATCTTTCCCTGTGTTTATTGGCTAGTCATATCTATTCTTTAGTGAAGAGTCTAGGAGTTCTCTATATATTTTGGATATAAGTTCTTTATCAGATAAATGTGTTGTGAATATTTTTAACCAGTCTCGTCTTTTTATTTTCATATTAGTGCCTTTCAGAGAGCAGAAGTTTTAAACTTTGATAAAGTTTAATTATCAATATTTTATTTTCTAGAGAGAGGTGGGGGAGGGGCAGAAGGAGAGGGAGAGAGAGAATCTTAAGCAGGCTTCACGCTCAGTGCAGAGCCCAACATGGGGCTTGATCTCACAACCCTGAGATCATGACCTGAGCTGAAATCAAAAGTCAGACACTTAACTGACTGAGCCACTCAGGCAGCCCAGTATTTTTTTCACTTATTGATAGTGTTGTTGGTGTCAAATATAAGAAATCTTCGTCTCTGCTCAGGTCTAAAATATTTTTCTTATGTTTTTTTTATCTAGAAGTTTGATAGTTTGAGATTTCACATTAAGCTATAGGATACATTTTTTTTTTTTTTTAAGATTTTATTTATTTGACCGAGAGAGGGGAACACAGCAGGGGGAGTGGGAGAGGGAGAAGCAGGCTTCCCGCCGAGCAGGGAGCCCGATGCGGGGCTCGATCCCAGGACCCTGAGATCATGACCTGAACCGAAGGCAGTCGCTTAACCAACTGAGCCACCCGGGCGCCCCAAGCTATAGGATACATTTTGAATTGACTTTGTATGTGGTAGGCAGTAAAGATTGATGTTTATTTTTTTTTAATATGAATTCTTAATTTGTTGAGCAACATTTAAAAGACTTTCCTTTCTCCATTGAATTGCCTTGACATCTGTCAAAAATTACTTGGTCTATTTCTTGACTCAATTCTGTTCCATTGATTTATATGTCTACCTGTAAATAATATCAAGCAGTCTGAACTACAGCTTTTTAAAAAAAATATTTATTTGAGAGAGAGCAAGCCCAAGTGGGGGGAGGGGCAGAGGGAGAGAGGGACAAATAGACTTTCCGTTGAACAGGGAGCCCAATGCAGGGCCCAGTACCAGGACCCTGGTATCATAACCTGAGCTAAAGGCAGACACTCAACCACTGAGCCACCCAGGGGCTCCTGAACTATAGCTCTATAGTAAGTATTGAAATCAGGCAGAAAAAGTCCTCCAGCTATGTTCTTTGGTAAAATTGCTTTGACTAGTCTATATTTTCATATAAATCTCAGAATCAGCTTGTCAGTTTCCCAAAAAAAATGAAAAAAAATGCCTGTAGGAATTTTGATTGGGGTTGGGTTGAATCTTGCAAAGAATTAGGGCAGCATTGTCATTTTAACAATATAGACTTTTTCTAATCCATGAACATGTTATATCTCTCCATTTATTTAGGTCAGAGAAGTTGGGGTAGGAGACAAGATATTTTGACATTCACGTTAAACCACCATGAGTCGAACAGTTACTGTTTGCCCATTGATGTCAAAACTTGGAAAAAATCTCTCCCCTGCCTCCTTTTTTTCCTGCTCTTTGGTCCTCCCTTTTCTTAGTCTGTGTCTTTTTCACTGAAAGCAAATTTATCACAGGCTTAGTTTTTAATTCCTATCCTGTCTTTCTCCTATTTAAAATTTTATATTGTTTTGGTTTCTAAATATCTTTTTTAATTTTATTTTATTATGTTAGTCACCATACATTACATCATTAGTTTTTGATGTAGTATTCCATGATTTCACTGTTTGTGTATTACACCCAGTGCTCCATTCAATACGTGCCCTCCTTAATACCCATCCCTGGGCTAACCCATCCCCCCACCCCCCTCCCCTCTAAAACCCTCAGTTTGTTTCTCAGGTGCCCTCAATTTAACATTTTCACATATTTCTGTCTAGATCTTTCTGGCTTCCTATATGGCATTTGAAATAATCTTTCTTGGGTGCCTGGGTGGCTTAGTCGGGTAAGCATCTGCCTTTGGCTCAGGTCGTGATCTCAGGGTCCTGGGATTGAGCCCTGTGTTGTTGTTGGGCTCTCTTCTCAGTGGGGAGTCTGCTTCTCCCTCTCCCTCTGCCCCTCCCCTCCACTCATGTTCTCTCTCTCAAATAAATAAAAATCTTTAAAAAATTATCTTTCTTTGACATATTGGCCTATACATTTCCTTGCTTTTAATTTATTACAGTTTTTAGCTGTAATATTTGGTTCAGCTACAAAACTTGTTTAAACAAGGTGTTTCTTCCCCAACCCCTAGTGCTAAACTCAAGAAAATAATTGAAAAATAGTATCAATTCATAGACATAAAATTATTACTCTAGTTTCATATTACCAGATGTCTTAAGAGTAAAGTTACCAGTTTACGACTCCCCTATTAAATTTTGCCATTTAATGGTATAATATGACACAGACTTCTGGAGTAATAGTGTGCAGATTCCAATTCTGACTCTTTGCTGTGTGACCTTTAGCACAGTAGTTAACCTCTCTCTACCTTAATTCCTCATCTGGATTGCTTTGAGAATTAAATGAGTGACAAATGCCTGGCACATAGTAAGGCCTCAATAAATGTAGGCTGTTGTTTAAAAATATTTTTCTTCAGGGTTGTTTTAATTTCATATTTCTTTAATGATTAGTGAGGCTATTTTTCCACTTTTTCATTTTTTTTTTATTTTATATGAACTGTCAAATATCCTTTTTTAACTAGTTTTTTTTTTAAAGTAGGCTCCACACCCAACATGGGGCTTGAATTCCTGACCCTGAGATCAATAGTTGCATGCTCTACTGACTGAGCCAGCCAGGTGCCTCTATCTCCTTTTCTTAAGACAGAAGTTTTACTTCACAAGCCAGTTGACATAGCAACACCAAAAGCCTAACTAACTAAGGATTAATTAAGTTAGATTTCACCAAAATTAAAGCTTCTGTACTTTAAAGTACACCGTCAGTAAAGTGAAAAAACAACCCATACAGTGGGAGAGAATATGTGAAAATCATATTTCTGATCAGAGACTTGTATCCAGAATATCTAAACAACTCTAAAAATAATAAAAAGAATCAAATTTTTAACTGGGCAAAGGATTTGAGTAGACATTTTCCCAGAGATGATACACAAATGGACAATAAGCATATGAAAAGATGCTCATCATCATCATCATAATGAAATACTACTTTCTACCCAATAGAATGGCTATAATATAAACAATTGGACAACAAGTATTAGTGAGGATGTGGAGAAATTAGAACCTTCATACATTGCTGGTGGGATCGTAAAATGGTGTGGGTACCTTGGAGAACAGTTTGGCAATTCCTGAAAATATTTAAGCAGAGTTGCCATGGGACCCAGCAATTCCACTACTACCTATGAGTAATGTAAACAAATGTCCACTCAGAAACTTATACATGAATGTACATAGTAGCATTATTCATAAAAGCCAAAAAATTAGAAATAACTCAAATGTCCCATCAACTGATAAAGTATAGTCTCTCCATACAGTGGACTGTTATTTGGCAATAAAAAAGATGCTACAACATGAATGAACCTTGAAAACATTATACTGAGTTGAAAGAAGCAGTCACAAAAGACCCTATTTTACATGATTCTGCTTATACGAAATAACCAGAATAGGCAATGAGTGGTTGTCTAAGGCTGGGGCGGAGAGGGGGAGATAATGGGTAGTGACTGCTAATGGCTACAGGGTTTCTTTTTGGGGTGATGAAAATGTTCTAAAATTAGATTGCGATGTTGGTTGCATAACTCTGAATATACTGTAAACTATTGTATTCTTTAAATGGGTGAACTTTATGGTATGTAAAGTACATATTATTAATGCTGTTGGAGGGAAGGGGAAAGGGAAGGAATCAATTTACTTACAGGTCTGCCTTTCTTCCTGTCCATTCATTTTTTGCCCAGATTATTGGTTAGGAGTAAGATATTTGTCCTATGGTGATTCCTGCTGTGCTAGAAAATTGCATGCTTCAACTTAATTGATGTTTCATTTTGGTATGATGACTGATCATTGAAGTCTTGGGTTTTCTAGGTCCACGACCCCTATTAGTATGATTCTTAAAATGTTTCATTACCTTGTAGATTGTTCCTTTGTTCATAAATTTAGGATGATTCTTGTTCAGAAGGCTGTTATAAAGTTCAAATGAAAGTGAGATAGCACTTTGAAAGCTGTGTAGTCCTAAATAAATATTTTTAAAGTTCTCTTTATTTTCTTTCCACAGGAGTAAAACACAAATCTTTTCTAACAGTTGAAGACTGTTTTGAGTTGGGCAAAGTGGCCTATACAGAAGCCGATTATTATCATACAGAACTGTGGATGGAACAAGCACTAAGGCAGCTGGATGAAGGCGAGGTTTCTACCATTGATAAAGTCTCTGTTCTAGACTATTTGAGCTATGCGGTATACCAGCAGGGAGACCTGGATAAGGCACTTTTGCTCACAAAGAAGCTTCTTGAACTAGGTATGTTAATTTGGCCTAATTCAAGGTTATATATATATATGTGTGTGTGTGTGTGTGTATGTATGTGTATATATATGTATATTTGATATATATTTATATATATATCTCATGATAACCATGATATATAAAAGTGCTAAGCTGTATCGTAAGATAAATATATATATAAAATTCTGATATATGACTATATATCTTATATATGTAATGATAAATATATATAATTCCGATAATTGTAATTCTGATATATAATTCATCATATAGCTTTGGTACATTTTTTTTCTTTTTCAAGTCTTTATTTAAATTCCAGTTAACACACAGTGCAATATTAGTTTCAGATATAGAATTTAGTGATTCATCACCTACACACAACACCTGGTGCTCACCACAGCTGCCTTCCTCAATACCCATCACCTGTCTAACCCATCCTCCACCCACCTCCCCTTCAGCAACCATCGGTTTGTTCTCTGTAGTTAAGAGTCTGTTTCTTGGTTTGCCTCTTTTTTCTCCCCTTATGTTCATTTGTTTTGTTTCTTTTTTTTTTTTTTAAAGATTTTATTTATTTATTTGAGAGAGAGAGAATGAGAGAGAGCACATGAGAGGGGGGAGGGTCAGAGAGAGAAGCAGACTCCCCGCCCAGCAGGGAGCCCGATGCGGGACTCGATCCAGGGACTCCAGGATCATGACCTGAGCCGAAGGCAGCCGCCCAACCAACTGAGCCACCCAGGCGCCCCATTTGTTTTGTTTCTTAAATTCCACATAGGAGTGAAATCATATGGTATTTGTCTTTCTCTGACTGACTTGCTTTGCTTAGCATTATACTCTCTAGTTCCGTATATGTCATTGCAAAGATTTCATTCTTTTTTATGGCTGAGTAATATCCATTTTGTACTTTTTATTTGTTACAAGTCAAGAGTCTATCTGTTAGACAAATTTTATCCTCTGTCCACTGAATAAATGGCAACTCATTTTTCTCAGCTAATGGTACTACGACAGTGGCTGTTATTCTCTGCTGTGTACTCTTCGGGAACTTCAAAATTGGATCTAACCTAACTAGCTCTGTCAAAAATGTTTATTTACCATGTTGTCATATTAAATATTAACCAGTTTCCTTTGAAGAATGTTTTTGTTTTATTGCATTTCATATTTAAAAATAGTGATTTGAAATAAATAGACAAAATATATTTGTCATATTCAAATGTTAGATAATGTGATATCCTATGAGGATTTGATCACTAGTATTTTGGACTTATTTCTCTAAGTATGATCCAGAAACCATGTGCATCAAAATTACTTGGATACATATTAGACATGAAAAATTCCTTGATCTCCACCCCAGACCTACTAAATCAGAATCTCTGGAGGTAGAGTTGTACGTTAATATGTTCAGGTGGCCGTTGGTATATAATGAAGCTTTAAAACTTTTTAAAAATTAATATTTTTCTGAACAGGTTAATATGTGTATGTTAGAAGAGTCAAATAGTTTAAAAAGATTGGTCATCTGAAAATGAACTTCTGACAGGTTATTTCTTGGTTGAGTGAATTAATAAATTGAGATATTAGTTCAAGTACCCCTTTTTTCAGTATTTTGTAGTGATTTTTTTCCTCCTGACCTAGAGTCATTATAGGAAATTTTTAAAAATAGAAAAAGATAATGGAAGAGTCATCCATAAGCCAATCACTGGACAATACCCACAAATTTTGTTTCCTTGTAGTATATACTATACTCCCTTCCCTGCACATATACACTTTCCTCTTTCTTTTACAAAATTAAGATCATATTGTATATTACAACATATATTGTGAGCAGTTTCTCAAAGACAGATTTACAAATCTAAGGCTAGATTTCCTAATCACTTCAGTTAATATCACAAGTGAAGTTTCTATATATTCTGTCTTTATTATTTGTGTGTGTGTGTGTGTGTGTGTGGTGGTTTGGATTTTTTTTTTCTTTCTCCCGGATGGGTGGAGTAGTCTTCTTTTCCCCTACTAAAAGATAGCTTAAAATGATGACTAGCAATTCAGAGGCAGTTAGTGGATTCTGGCTTATTTGAAAATTATAACTTTAGTTTCTCTTTTTCCATCTCACGTAGAATTTTGGGACTGAAATTCTCTCAGCCCTTGGAAGTAGGCTATGTTCTGCATTTATAATGTATCTGTGGTGAACGTTGCTTTTGAACTGCATACACTGTCTTTCCCATGATGATTACATTTCAGTTTCAGAAAAATCTTTAACATTGCTTAAAATAAGTAGAATGAGTAATATTTTAGAATTCATTTTTTAAAAAGATTTTATTTATTTATTTGACAGAGAGAGTGAGAGAGAGATCACAAGTAGGCAGGCAGAGGGAAAAGGAGAAGCAGGCTCCCTGCCAAGCATGGAGCCTGATGTGGGGCTCGATCCCAGGATGCTGGGATCATAACCTGAGCCGAAGGCAGACACTTAACGGACTGAGCCATCCAGGCGCCCCTAGAATTCATTTGGCTGATTAATAATTTCTCAAAGTAGAATATTTGCTACTTTGAAATAAATGGCTGATTCCTTCTCCAGAACCCTTTTTACATAGGGTGACTCTATGTGATTTACTTTATACCTGTTATTTTGGTACAATAATTTTTAAAAAAGATTTTGTTTAGTTTGAGAGAGAGAGGATGCGTGAGCAGGGTGGGGGTGGCAGTAGAAAGAATCTCAAGCAGACTCTGTGCTGCTGAGTGTGGAGCTGGAAGCAGAGCTCATCGCACAGCCCCAGATCAAACCTGAACTGAAACCAAGAGTTGGTCGCTTAACTGACTGAGCTACCCAGGCACCCCTGGTATAATAATTTTTATTAGTGCCTCCTTTCACTCTCATAAGTATCCTGGTTTGGAAGGTAAATTATATGGGCCCCTATTTTTATATTACTATATTCGGATGCTTGAATGACTGTAAACTTAACCATGGTCATGCTTTCTTCCTTATCCAATAGATCCTGAACACCAGAGAGCTAATGGTAACTTAAAATATTTTGAATATATAATGGCTAAAGAAAAAGATGTCAATAAGTCCGCTTCAGATGACCAATCTGATCAGAAAACCACACTGAAGAAAAAAGGGGCTGCTGTGGATTACCTGCCAGAGAGACAGAAGTACGAAATGCTGTGCCGTGGGGAGGGTATCAAAATGGTAAAGTGGAAAAGCCAATTGTGTGTGTGTATGAATGTGTGTGTGTGTGTTTGTACATAGTTCTGGAGAGAATCAGAGTTCTTTTATATTTAAGCCTATGTCATAAAAATTAGAATTAACTGTTAAAGTATTACAGTATGCCACATCAACTTATTGTGGGTGTCACAGTGTGCTCCAACGATTAGTAAAATAGCTTTAGAATAAAGCTGTTGAATCATTATGCCATTTTGTGTATTTTTGGTAATATAACTCTTTGCATAGGCCAAAAGAGGCTTATTTTTATAAGATGAAGGATCAGATAGTTTAAGGGAAGTGATAAGATTTTTTCTTATATTTTAATGCAAAACATATTTCCACAGTCTTAAGCGGAAATAATATACCAGCTTAACCCATCCTGTAAAACAAAGAACTCATCTATACAATAATCTTTTGTGGTTTTACTCCTAGTTGACCTTGACAGGATTGCTTAGTGAAATGTGTTAGTCTATTTAAGAAATACTTAAAATGCCGAAAGAGTTTCTGCAGATTTTGGCTTTAACATTTATTTTTTTTAATACTTAAATGTGCCTATAAATATCCTTTTCTTTATTGTGTATCTGTATTTATGTATTTATAACTCTCAGAGTACTAGTGTTTCAGGGTGTTAATAGATAAAAGACCACAAACAAAAAAGTTCAAGTCTGGGAACATAGGTTTTTGTTCGGCCTCAGGACTTTTCAGAGCCTTTTTATGATAATGTACAATATGGATATGCTATGCATTGCTTCCCAACATTAATTGATAAAGCATGGAACCCGTTTTTAAGGAATATCATGTGGTACTAGTTTTCAGTTGAATGCAGGCATATGTAGAAGGAATTAGTGAATTTTTGAAGTAAGTACTTTTAAGTGTAAACATTTGAATAGTGTGTTAAGTTTTTCTCTGCTACTAATAAAGTCAAGCTGGGCTGTACATTTTGATATTGGTGACTTTTTGATATTTGAGGACTTACTGTTGACAGCTTAATCTCTTAACAGCAAATGCGTAGATCATATCTATGTTGACACTTTTGAGAGCTAAGTTTATGGACTCCTTGAAGAACATCCTTACTTTTGCTTTGGGTGGTAATGAGTAAATAAAAGGATAATGACAGTCTGATAGACTCATGAAACATTTCTTTTTTTTAATTTCACACCTAAATATTTTATTACACATCTGTTGAAGATACTCAAAAAATAACCAAAAAACTATTGTTACACCTAAAAAGGTGCACAATATTTCCATAATATTATACATCTAGTTAATGTTCAAATTTCTAGTAGTAAGCAGATATTATTTTATTGCCTTTAATAAATCTTAAAGAAGAAATCAAAATAGAGCCATAGGTATAAAACAGAAGTCTGCTTAATTTACCAGTGTGTTGATGTGACACACACATGTCAACTCTGCCCAAAATCAAGGATCATCTTTACTCTCAGAATAGTTAAATTCACCTCATCATTGTATCAAAGACTTATAATAAATAAATCTTTAGATTTGACTCTAGGTAAATAAAGTACATGGAGAATAAACATGCATCATTATTTGTCTTAGGATGTTAGCTAATAATTAAAACAAAAACTAGGGGCACTTGGGTGGCTCAGTCGGTTAAGCATCTGCCTTCAGCTCAGGTCATGATCCCAGGGTCCTGGAATGGAGCCTGCTTCTCCCTCTCCCTTTGCCGCTCTCCCTGCTTGTGCTCTCTCACTCACTCTGTCAAATAAATAAAATCTTTTAAGAAAACAAAAACAAACAAAAACTAATATTATTTCTATTTCATATATGATATACTTGTTTAATCAAGAGAAGAATCAGCAATGGATAATTTAGTTAATATAGATTGAAAGGAACATTTATTTGTTTTGTCGATCACTCTATTTTTAATAGTCATCAATAAAAGCACCTGCCTTTAATAACTTATTTTCTCTTTTTCAGAATTACTCATTTTCATCTTTGCTTTTTAAAACTAACTAAATTTGTTTATGCTGCAAGCATCTAACTGGGAGGTATTTAGGAAAACCTGGTGAGGTTTTGTTTTATTTTTCCTTTTAAAAACTTTTTCTCTGGGTGCTTCCCAGTTACTTTGTGAAATTTGGAGCAGTGCAGGTCATTCATTTCATATTTTCATAAATATTTCATTATTCTTTATATTTAGATACCCGAACTTTATTTTGATGAGACATGGGTTAAAAGTGAAACCCTATCTTTTTTCTTATTTAAGGCCTAGCATCTCTCCCAGAAAATAATCATTAATAAAACTTTTAAATCATGAATGTCCTATTTGATGCAAAATACTTGCAGAGTACTATCTTTTGTATATTCTTCCATCAATGCTCTATGTATACGCAAGCAGGATTATTGTTTCTTTTTTGCATAGGAGCAAGCATTATTATTACTCTAATATGTTTATCATTTTCTTAACTTTATGTTTTAGACTCCTCGGAGACAGAAAAAACTCTTTTGCCGTTACCATGATGGAAACCGGAATCCTAAATTCATTCTGGCTCCAGCCAAACAGGAGGATGAGTGGGACAAGCCTCGTATTATTCGCTTCCATGATATTATTTCTGATGCAGAAATTGAAATTGTCAAAGATCTAGCAAAACCAAGGGTAAATAATTTTTTTCTCTCAGTTTACTCTACCTGTGTATTAGTTTTGCCTTTGCAAGATTACAAAGATGACAATTGATATGGCAGTAACCCCACAGATAGTTTTAGATATTGCTGTCACAACATAATGGAGTTGTTAATAAGCTCTGTTTATACTAGTTTTTCCTCAGTTTGTTATTAACACAAATAGCATACCCTGCAACTGGGTTTTAAACACTAAATTATGAAAATCATAGATGAGATTTTTTTATTCACACTGATTTTATTCACAGATGTTCCAGCATCTTCCTGAAAAAGTTTTGTCTGTATTTTCAAACCCTTTAGTCTCATAGGCTAATCAAAGACCAACTTTCTCATATCTTCAATATTTTTATCTGAAGGAATACTTGAAGTATTTTTATTCCTCTTTGGGCACATTATTACTGGAAAGATATAATTGCACAAGCATCATGCTAATTTGAAATAAGGACATCATAGTTTTCTGACTTTAACTCCTATCATTTATCTTAAGGAAAACAATTTTTAAAAAAATTTTTTTATTTCAATTCAATTTTTTTTTTTTTTTTTTTATTCATGAGAGACAGAGAGAGAGAGGCAGAGGAGAAGCAGGCTCCCAAGGAGCAGGGAGCCTGATGCGGGACTCGATCCCAGGATGCCGGGATCATGACCTGAGCCGAAGGCAGACGCTTAACCATCTGAGCCACTCAGGCACCCTATTTCAATTCAATTTAATTAACATATAGTGTATTATTAGTTTCAGAGGTAGAATTTAGTGATTCATTAAGGAAAATAATTTAATGTAAACACAATCCCATAAACTTAGTGTTTAGCATAGAAATTCTTCTTCTATGAGAATTTGAGAAAGACTACCCTTTATGCTCTTGCCTTTTTTCCCATCAGCTTGTTCTTAAAACCTATTTGATCTCATTGATAGTAATACAAACTGCCATCAGTTTCATAAAAAGATTGTTAAACATTAAGCTTATCTGTGCTCTGTACAGAAGTTGGCAAATTTTTTCTGTAAAGGTGTAAATAATAAACGTATTTCAGGCTTTGCTGGCTATATCATCTATCACAAATACTCAAGTCTACATTGTAGTGTGAAAGCAGCCATAGAAAATATATAAATGAGCATGGCTATATTTCAATAAAACTTTATATCCAAAAACCAGTGGCAGGCTGAATTTGGCGCATGGGCCATAGGTTGCTGATCCTTGTTATAAAGGTTTAATTATCTGGATATCTGTACTCAAACTTAAGGTCAGAATTTTTGTTGCTGTTAAGTTTTACTATTCCAGATTGGTACTTTTTTTTTTTTAACCAAAGATTACATTTTAAATGGAAAAGACTGGTCTAATATGTATAGGTGCTGTCCAAGGGAATTCTTATAAATCTTCCAGAGCACTACTTAAATCACACCATATTCTATCGGTATCTTTTCAATTTCTGTTTTAGTCCATTCTTTGTGGCCAGTAAACCCAGTAAACCAAAATACCTTGGTGGAATATTTTTTAAGAATTCATTTCAGCTTAGAGGTCAAGTCTTGTATCTCTGGATTTGGAGGCCTCAGTCTTCAAAGGGGATGCCTCAGTTGGATTATTTTAATCAAAAAATTCAGTGCCGATAAAAATTTTATACTTTTTCAAATTTCAAAATCATTTTTATTTGTTAGTTTGAAGTCATTATCTTGGCTGGTCCTCTCTTTCCTACTTTTTTGTACATCTATGAGTTCTTTTCATCTGCCTTTCTGCTGAGTTCAAGATTATTTCACTGTATATGTGAAATACATGAACAGATATGTTGAAAGAAGTAAAGATGGACCCTGAAAGAAATTTTGGACAGCATTAACCTTTGTAAACAGTTCCATCACTAAAAAAAAATTAACATCAAAAGTTTGAAACGGATCATTAACTACAAATAGCCATTCTTATAACTATAATTAGACATCAAATTTTAGAAATTTCTTCCCTCCCAGTCTCCTCCAACGACTGAAAGAAATTTAATTTCTAATCTCTTTTGTTTGTGTACCCTCCATTCATGCAAAGCAAAAACAAAATATAAAAAATAACAACAACAAAAAAAGCTTAAAAGCCAACTGTCTCTCAAGGCTCAACACAGGGTGACTGGAAGTCTTATGGAGTTCTTTTCTCTTTTCATCCTCCTTTGTAAAAATCCCAGAATTCTGACTGGTTGGATAAATGTGATTCATTTTTTTTTGTTTTGTAATGCAACTATTTTGATGGTTGGCTTCACAGCTGAGGCGAGCCACCATTTCAAACCCAATAACAGGAGACTTGGAGACGGTACATTACAGAATTAGCAAAAGGTAAGAGATGTGTACGTTGCATATTTTGCCCTCTAATGAGTGTTTTGTACATCCTACAGGAATATTCATTTAAGGGAAGTAGGTCATTTTCAGTCTCCAGCTCAAGTCACCGCCTGTTTATATACGCATGGATAAACTGCTTTGTGTTTCACAGGTCTTTCCCTTTAACTAGAAGTTCTTTTTTTAATCTTTAATTGGTCTGTTGTTTTGAGGGAATTAATACGCTTTGCATTTCTCTTCAGGTCAGGAATCAAATCTCCAGGAAATGGCTTTATACTTGTTTTCTTTTTCCTTTTTCTTACCAAAAGGGAAAAAAAAGAAAAAGCAGCAGCCTGGATTAATCTGGGAGTAGTCTTTGTTTATATAGTTCTCTCATATTCATAAATGCTGCAGTAAATTCACATCATTCTTCATAGTGATTTGTATTGGCATTTGTTCATTCATCTTGTGCAATACCATTGTCATTTTGGAGTAATCTGTATTCCTCCTGTTGGAGTTATTTTAAAAAACTTGCTGACTAGAAAGTTGGCAATGGAAAGAAGGGTTATGCTTCTGATCTCAGTCTTCTAACTACTATTACTCATGAACTTATTTGCCTTTTACTTCGCCAGAGAGACTTAACAGTTTTATCTCAGTGAGAGTTTTAAAAAACAAATTTAAAGAGACTGTTAACTATTCTTTTGTCAAAATACTTAAAGGACTTTAAACTTCTAGATCTGAGAAAGCTCCTGTGAAACCCAGTGCTATAAATCATTTACATATATTTTCAAATGATTTTTTTAAAAAAAAGTGAAAGGACAATAAATCTACAACAAAAATATGTCAACCCATTTTCTCTTGATTTGGAAGTGGCTTTTATTGCCACCTGTCTAAATGTTTTTGCTGATTTGAAACCATTACCTACCATCCAGACCAATCTGAACCCTTCCAATCACCTGTGGCTTGGCAAAACAAAACAAACAAAAGCCCAAAATTGCCTGCTACGTGAGTAAGTCCTTGTCCTTTCTCTTTTTTTGTAGCTGAGCCGAGCTACAGTACATGACCCTGAGACTGGAAAATTGACCACAGCACAGTACAGAGTATCTAAGAGGTAAGGGAGTAATGGAGAGAATTTTAGTCCTATTTGGACCATTTTCCTTCTTGAGAATCTAATTTTCATAAAGGTTTCTAAGACCTAGGCTTAGGCATGACAACCATGCTTGAATTTTCATGATAGACTAATAAACAGACATGGTTATGGGGCAGTTAACAGAGATTTTCCAGAAGTAACTTACTGGATTTCAAAATGCCTGCTGAGACTCCCCAGACCCTAATTGAAAAGTGAAGTTGTGTTCCGATATTGAAGAGAAGTTCCCAAAGAACCTTCGTAGAAACAAGGCCTAATTTGGCTTCTATAGTAAAGCAAAGGTATAAAAATCTCTGGGTCACCAGAATAGCTGCAGGTATTGAGAAAGTGCATGCCTTGAAGGATTCCATAACACATCCTTTTTAAGTCAATTGGTTTCAAATTCTTTGCTTTTAACAATGTTTAAAGAGAATGTACTTAAGTTATTAGCTGATCACTGAAATAATTTTTAACAGTAGATTACTGTGTAACTCATGTATATAACTTAGAAGGAGCCCACAGAGTAAGTGACATTATTCCAACAGAACTCCTTTTCCATCTACCTATTTATGTAATGGAGATTTCTCAGCTCTCATAAAAATGAGAATATTGAAAATAACAAAATAAGCTCCTTCCATCTCATTAGAAACATCTTAATGTATTTTCACTTTTCATATTGGGTAATGATTGTTTAATCATGTTAGACTAATGTGTACTAATGATAATTGTAATAACTCATTCCAGAAGACATTATTTTTAACAATTAGACCTTTATGTTAGAGGAATTTATATTTTTATCAATTTATAAAAGTATTTTTTTGTAGAGAAGTATAATGTAATAAAAGATTTTCAGGCATAGAAATATATTTCTCTAGGATGGGGCTTCTCAACCTCAGCACTATTGACATTTTGGATCAGATAATTCTTTGTTGTTGGGGGTTGTCATAGCTTTGTATGACATTTAGCAGCATCTCTGGCACCCACTAGATGCCAGTAATGCCCTTCAGCCCAGTTTTGACAATGAAAAATGTCTCCAGACTTTGCCAAACATCCCCTGGTAGGCAAAATTCCCACCCCGCCCCCCAGAGACTTCACCTCTCTACCCATGTTGAAAGCCACTATTCTAAGATAAGAATGGAATGAAAATGCAGTTCAAGGGGGGAAAAAAAAAATGATATAAAAGTTCCCAAGTACTAAAAAATTCATTCATGTATTTTTTTTAAAGTGAATCATGGTGGGCGTTAAATCATCGTGGTATTTAGATTCCACTGGATACGTTAAAAAAAAAGATCATTTTTCAGAAATTACCACTAATTTCAGAATTCTTTCAAACTATTTGATGAAAAATTCTAGTTTTCAACTAAAATGTGCAGAAAGTAAGTACATAGATTTAACAACTATTTTAGGAGTTACTGGAACAGAAATTTTGAATATTATTGCTGTAAGTCATAACAAAAGTACTATGAAGGCTGTACAGAATGCATTGTTTCCTTACTCTTTTTGGGCAAAGCTATATGTCCTTCATATGGTAATAACCTTCAACATGCCTGCACACATATCCTGGTTTCCTAACCGTGTGCCCCATGCTACCTGCCCCCAGCAAACTAGAAGACATGAAGAAAATTTAATTTCTATCATACGACTTTGATTTCAGGGAGACTAAGGATTTGTAGAAATTAATTTGGATAATGTTTTGATACATGATTTATAATGCTTCTGTGCATTGTAATTAACTCTAAATTTCAAGTTAAACTTCAGCTAATTTTCCATTTTATTACAGAATCTTACTCATGTCTTAAAAAATTAACCTTTTATTTTTTTAAAAATAAGCCATTATGTATTTTATCAAAGATTACTACATGGTTTTAGGCATTTTTACCGTCATAAGGCTTGTTTCTAAATTCTCCAGATTTGGATGCTTTTAGGAAGCACATAAAAGAAAATTTCATGAACTTAGTTCTTTGGAAGTCCTTTTTGGAAATTTTTTTATATATACAGTGGACCTTCTGAAGAAATATCCAGCCCACAGAGTCATTGGACTCTTACCAGTAAGGCAAAATAAATTACTCTTGGAAAGGTGATCTACAGACTTTTTTTCCTTAAGAACTAAATACTTCTAAGCCTTTTGGGCTTATTTTTAAAATATTCTAACTTTATAGCTCTGAGAAGCAATTTTATTGGATTTTTTAGAAAGACACAACCATACTTTATATTATATATGGCAATAGAAGGCATTTAGCCAGCAGCATTAGAAGCATTGGAAGACTAACACCAGAATAAATTCACCCAATCTTAGCAGAGTATGCGGGGGGGGGGGGGGGGTGTTCGTTCGTGTTCAAATACTCATATTTACTCAAGGAAAATTGTTCAGCAAGTCTTTTAAAAAGAAAATACATATGTTGAGAGAGAGGCCTTAACTGTTAAAGAAGGAATTTGCTCCATAAAATACCCTAACCATTTCATATTTTAACAAGTAAGTTTTTGCTTTTTTGGGAATTTATTAGCTATGTCAAGACATTTTTTACCCATCACTGGAATCTGAATTTTGAATATTCCTACAAGTGAAATAAATGAGTGTTTTAGGTTTACTTCATATATTATACCTCTGAAAAAGGCATCTCAAATGTAAAATAGAAAAATTTATGTGTACTGATGTCAGTTAATGTAGTGCCTTTTGCTGTGGGAACATCTGTATTTTGAATGGGTCAGAAGGGAATTTCAAATATCTGTATTTTGAGAAATTTCTAAGTGATTGCATCATCTTCCGTGGAAGGAAAAATATGTTCCAGCATCCTAGCAAATAGAATTTTATTCGGGTAAAGTATGTGTGGAAATCCATTACTGTTTATTTACTTTATTGACTATCTCTGAACGTTTGGTAAGTCATGTCTGTCCTTTCCATAATTAAAAAAAAAAAAAAACTAAAAATTTACTACAGCTTGTTAATGGAGATGCTAATAATTTTGGCTACAGCAGAGAAGTGGAATTTTAGTTTTGGAAAAGTAAACATTGAGTTTACATGCTCTGAAAAGACATTTAGTTATGTGAGCTCATAAAGTCCAGTTAAAGTAATATTAAGAGATATGCAAATAAACAATCTAGTGTGGTAGAAAAAGCTTCTTTGATTCTGGTAGGTTATTTTTAGAAGTAGTTTTCCTTTTCTTACTCTGATATACAGATTTCCCATAATATGGCATTTTCTTATGCTTACGATTTAATTTACCCATGGAAATAAGGAACAAATACAATATAAAAGCTTATTATTATTTTATAGTATGGGGCAAATACAAACATCTTTGAATATTTCAGATATTTTTTTAAATTGGAGTCGCTTTTAACAACGACAGTCCGTTAGGTTGAACAGTAGTTCTCAGATTGAGATAAACTGAAATGGATAGATCTATAGTATGATTGCATAATTGTCCCACTAAGATCCAAAGGGCCAGGATAAATTTCCAGGCTAGATGATCAGCCTTTCTTTGTTAACCGTCAAGCACTTAGAGAAGAATTATTGAAAGTTTGCTCTCTGTAACTGGCACTTGGGGTCCTGAATTACTTTTTGCCTTTGCAAAAAATCACATAGTTTTTATATTAGCTAATTGTAAAATGTCAATTTTCACATGTTGGGTTGGAAGAAAGTAGTGGAAATTATATCACTTGCATTTTCCTTTGGGAGTTTTGTAATAATCTCCCAAACCTCCAAAATGATATTGTCTATCTATTTACTTGAACATGATGTCCTTATTAATATATTAGAAATATAGTCATGCAGTGTGAGAATGTTGCTCCTTACTCAAAACATTCCAGGGGCACCTGGGTGGCTCAGTTGGTTAAGTGTCCAACTCTGGATCTCAGCTCAGGTCTTGATCTTGGAATTTTAAGTTGAAGCCCCATG